TCTAACTTAGGAGCGCATAGGCGCGGTGGGACGATCATGTCCTCAGGTCGCATTGCAGGTTGAGGTGATTGAGGGGCTACAATTACCTAACATACACCATTGGAGACCCCTTCATATTTAAAAGCCGCTTGATGCAGTCGTAGATGAGGATTTCTTAACACTCCTTTTTCTTGGACAAATAGTTATCCACACAATTGATAGCCTTCTCAAAATGAATGCTCAAAAGCCACTTCTTTTTGCAAAAAAAGCAGAAGATAGTTTTTGAACTGCTCTTCCCTGAAATTTGACCAGATGCCAATGTCAGCACGAAAAAGAAGCGCCACTGCCCCATGATTCGGAACTACTTATATGTACCGCAATCTCACTGTTGGCTACACCCTATAAATGGATGGAAAATACATATATAAGGTATTTCTACTAGCCTGACAACCCCGTTCTTACATTGCGGGCCCTTGTACGTGGGTTTGAATCCTTTCAGGGTCACAGCCAGCTGATTGCCGTAGATATCCTGACTATCGCCATGAATAAGCAAGAAAAAGGGGCGCGGACAGTGCGTACGTGTCTACCACTGGCTTGTTAGGACTGTCTGTGTCTCACGGTGGCTCCAGTCAAGCATAGTTACAGTAGCCGGGTCATCTTGGGCTTACAATCATCTCCGCCAGCCCGGAGGGACTGTGCTAGAACGCGGTTATCCGAAAGGCCTGGAACTAATCACAAAGACGAAACCTTCCACAGAATCGATACAGGAACGTTGTCAGGGGTTGGTGCCACTATTTTGACCATTTATCCTATAAACGTGAGTAACATTTTCTCTTCAGTTTAATTCCTAGCAGATCAAGGGAATACTACTTAAATTATGCATAGTAGCGGCATTAGGCACTGTGTGTGTTACTGAATAAACAAAATTTTACTGTCAAACCATTTCTTGAATTAATAACTACGCCTATTTAATGACAGCTATTAAATGCTTTAAAGTAGCAAAGAAAGGTTCTAGTTTATCTTGTATTATCACTCTGATCAAGCAGTGCCATGAAGACAATTTTTCTTAGAAGAGAGTAAAAAAGCAATTTTCAAGGTATGAAATGCATTGATGTTGACTCTTTAAGTCAAAAATATGCCTTAAATCACGGTAAGAGGAAGTAGGCAAAGCTTTTACATGCCTTTGTTACAACTAGTTGATTATTACTGCTTCGGGTGCTGCCATTTATCTTATCTTGTAGGTCAGGCCTGTTACCTACACCCACTGGCTTCAACACCCGACTTGGGTAGCAAAAGCAACCCAAACAGAAGGTCCAGTTTATCGCGCTCGCCATAGTTATTTGATGTGATGTTCTTACACAGCCCAGGTAGCAACAGGATCAATTGCCAGGTCATCTAGAAATGCGATCAAAACTGAAGACATCTTTAGCGTCTATGAGTATGCTAAGCCACAGGGACAAAACTTAAACGGACTCAAGTTCTCTGCGTTCACACGAGTGAAACTCGTCAACTTGGTCATTTCATTGGTGAAACTCTTTCAGAGAACATGGTAGAACAGCGAGTTTTCGCCTTCCATTTTGTCCTTTTAACGCCCACAAGTAGTTCCCTCTCTCCTTC